CCCATTTCGGCCGCCCTGTGTTCGCCTGCAGTCGCATCTCCAGGGCGAGCTGAGCCTCGCGCGCGTCACTTCAAGCCATTGCTTTTGGAAGCAATGGCCCCCGCGTGGGGCGAGAGTTTGCTCCAGTTTCTCCCAAATGGAAGGATGCGAAAGGGTACCCCAACGCGAGTCGAGAAGAACCGTCCTCTTTTGCCCTCACCTCTGCAGTCCGACGACCCACCCTCCCCCGCCCCCACGCCTTCCCAGAGTCAGTGTGTTTGTTCATCGGTGACTGAGCATTATAGTTTGAAGCCCAACAATCTTCTCCTCCCCGGACTTCACCCCACCTCGCGGCAGAGGAGACTAAAGAACAAAGAAAGCCTCGAGATCTTTAGGACTTTCTCGAAGGCACGTGGGGCATGTTAAATGTCTTCGTACTACATCTTCGCGACCCCGTGCAACTGGGATGAAGATTCCCCCGCCCGTCCCCGCTCCCCGCAAAAATAGTTAAGAACGTTGGAGTTTGCAGTTTGCTCTCCGCGGGGGGTTCTATCGTCATCTCTTTCCGAGTCCTCAGGTCGCGGACCGGAATGAAGACTAAAGAGCAGGTGGAGAAGGAAGGAGAGGAACGCAGTGCAGAGATCCGAGCTTTCAGGGCGCAGGGCTAATGTTAAAGGGAGCAACTGAGCGCTAAGCTGGTGAAGCTGCGGGGCGGGGGGCGGGGGGAGAAGTTTAGGGACAAAGGAGGTAGTTTGCCGAGTATTTTAGGGGGATTTGGTGGCTGATGTAGACTTGGGCAGGGATATGAACAGGAGGCTTGGATTGGGGCATTATGGGCAGAAAAATTGAGGGTGATGAATGATTAAGGAAGGACGCGGGGCTGGGATGAAATGGTTGTGCAAGGGTTTGGAATAAAAGAGTGGGTTGGGGAGTGGTAGGAAATAAGGGTGGGTTTTCTGGGACAGAGGACCCTACTCACAAGGACATTTACTGCCGCTAAAGGAGGCCGCTCTAGGGCAGAGGTACGGCATGCCCAGAGGGATTCAAAAAGTTTAGTGTCGAGGATGCGTGTTGGGGTAAACGGGAGAGGTTGTCAGAAGGAAGAGAAAGCAAAGCAGCTGTTGTCCAGGTGCACTGGGCGAGGGGGACCTCAGCATGGTGACCAGAAGGCAGGGGCGGGAAGGCCACAGTGCAAATGACAAGGAAAGGGGTCAGAAGACGGCCGGCAGAATGAAAGCGAGAGAGAGCCCGAGGTGATTCTGAAGGCATCTGCTTAGGGGGGAAGGTTAACAAACTAATGATTTGGGCAAGGAGAGCATGATGGGAGGTAAATGGTGAGTTTGGTGCTGGGCTTGTTGAACCTGAGGTACTAGTGTGGGGCCCCAGAAACCTGGAAGCATAAAAGACAAGGCAGAGCAGTGGTCAGTCTGGCGGTGCACGCTGGGGAATCTCCACCGAAAATCTCTGAGCCCGCTGAAAGGCTGGACTTTCTCATGACCCTTACGTCAGAACCCACTTGGTAGGCAGATTTGAATTTTATGTCTTTATCTTTGCTTGTGTCGTCCCTATAAAAATAGTAAAAAACTTTAAGAAGCTATAAGATCACCTTGCAAATCACCAGGTCTGGATAATTTCCTAACTGGATTGTCCTTTCCCAGACCAGGGCTTAGGAGGAGATGGTAGAAGACTTTATTCTCAGTCCAAGGGTCCATTTGTGTGAGACACAGACTCTGCTTCTCTGGTCAAGTTACTATTGTCAATAAAAGTGATATTCCCTGTAGTAAATTTCAATGAGTAATTCACATGCAACACACACACTTGTGTGTTCCGAGCTGTGCAGGACATTGAGGCCCAGGAATGATAAACTCAACTCAATTATTTCCTGATACTGGCATACTGAAATTGAGAACTTTGTCTATTGCAGACAAGCCTTAGGTTGAAATGGGACACCTAAATAGGTCAAAGGTAATAGCATAATCCTGGATGTGCACTTGGCCCGTGTACCAACTTCTGGTAGTTATATATTACAAAATGCTTTGATTTATATAGGGCAGCACCTCACGAGGGTACCCCCTCCCCCTTTGTTACTTCTTGCTTTGTGATATTTCTGGCATATTCCTTATCTTTTTTTTTT